TTGAGTCTGTGTGAACTCTTGTAGTTTAGATGTGTTTCTTGGAGATGATAAAATACTTGGCTTGTGTTTTTCTATCCATTTAGCCAGTGTCTTACAAGTGGGGCATTCAGACCATTCCCACTGAGCATTAGTGTTTTTATGCGGGATATTCTTCTGTTCAACATGTTGGATAATACCTATTGTTTTATTTTTCCTCTTGTGCTATTGTTCTATAAGAGCTGTGGGCTCTAAGTTTTGGATGTTTTTGCACTGGTTGGTGTCTAATGTGCTGTTGTATATATAATGTACTTTAGAGTATATCTGTAGGGCAGGCCTAGTAGTGACAAATTCCCTTAGTATTTGCTTGTCTTGGAAATGCTTATTTTTTCCTTCATTTATAAAATTTAATTTAGTAGGATACAGAATTCTTGGTTAGCAGTTATTCTGTTTAAGGAGTCTAAAGGTAGGACCCTACTGCTTTCTGGCTTACAATGTTTCTCTTGAGAAGTCTGCTATTACTAGAATGAAGTTTCCTTTGCAAATTTCTTGATGTTTTTGCCTCATGGGTTGTAGGAATTCTTCCTTCACGTTGACTTTGGCCAGTCTGATGACTATATGCCTTGGCTGTGCCATTTTTTGCAATGAATCTCCCAGGTATTTGTTGTGTTTCTTATATTTGAATGTCTAAATCTCTAACAAGACCAGGGAAGTTTTCCTCAATCATTCCAAGCCTTTTGCTTTTTCTTCTTCACACTCAGGGAGGCATATGATTCTTACTTTTGGCCACTTGACATAATCCCATATTCCTTGTAGACTTTGTTCATTTCTCTTGATTCTTTGTTCTTTATTTTTGACTGACTGTGTTAATTTGAAGAGTTGTCTTCAAGCTCTGAGATTCTTTCTTCTGCTTTGTCTAGTCTATTCCTGTAACTCTCCACTGCGTTTTGTATTTACCTAAATGAATTGTCCATTTCCAGAAGTTCTATTTTTTTAAAATATATCTATCTCTATGGTGAATTTTTCATTCATTTACTTGTTTGGAAGGACATGAATTGTTTTTCTTATTTCTTTTAGTTGGTCTTCTATTTTATCTTGGATCTCATTGAGATTATTTATAATACTTATAGTTCTTTATCTGTCATTTTGCTATTTTCACTTTGGCTAGGATCCATTGCTAGAGAACTGGTGTGCTTCTTTGGGGGTATCCTTCTAATTTTTAATACTTCTGCAGTTTTTGCTCTAATTCCTTCTCATCTGGAAGTTGTTGCTTCTTATTTTTATTTTCTTTTGTTTAGATTTCACCCTCTCACCCTTTTGTTTGCTTGTTTGTTTTAAAAGATGTGCTTGTCATTCTTGATAAACAACTACTATAAGAATACATAAGAGAAACAGAGTGGTATCCTTATACGATACATAAGTGTATGTTACAAGATCCCCCCACACTCTTAAGGCTGTGTCTGTAGGATATGTTGGGAAAGGACATTTGGCTTTGCCTGAGGCTACTTTGATGGAGGTATAGGTTCTGGATGGATATTTTGGTTCTAGATACCCTTAGAGTGAAGGTTTGCTCAATTGCTAGTTATTTGTAGGCTGTAGTAGTTGTGTACCATGTACATGGGCAAATTCCCTGTCTCTTGTTGACAAGAGACAATAGAGGTCTTTGAAATCCTTTCTTTTATCAGTCTTGTGGTCTTCTGAACAGTGTAATTTAAATTGAGATGCCCAAATCTTAATCTTGGAGACAGTAGGTGAAGTTTAGGTGTAAGAGTCAGTCATATCCTATATGATTTAGGCAATGTATGTGCTAATGGACTGTACAAGTTTTCCTCCCTCCCAATAGGTGGCACTAGCAGGACAGAGCGAGTTGCAGTGGTGGTTTGTGGGACTTGTGACCAGCTCTAGTCCATCAAGAGAAGAACTCAAATGCCCAGGTGGTGGGCAAGGTGCTGGAGCTCCCAGGGGACTCCTTATTCTCTACCATAGCAGAGGTGGGTGGGGGAGTGAGGCTGGGTGGAGCTTGGTCATATAAGCCTATTTATGGGCTCCACAAAGGCAGGCACAAGAGCTGTATGCATGGGGCTTGAGGGTCTATCCCTAGGCCACTGAGAAAAGCCATGAGGGAGTGGTGGAAGGGTTTCATAGACCAGCTGTCAGGAGTGGATTTTGTTCCTCTCCCTCTTCTCCTGCCCTGTGAATATCTTTCTGTCATTTAGCTGCAAGCAGAATCTCAAACAACCTGAGTTCCCCAACAGTGGTGCCACGAGCTGGGAGCTTCCCTGCACAGGATCCTGCCCCAGACAGAAAACATGGCTTTCCTGGGGTGTAGGGATACTCTGTGAGTGTGCTACAGCTGACTCACCTTTTAGTTCTGCTCACATGGGCTCCCTTGCCTCCCAAAATTAGTTCAGAGTACTCTTCTTCATGCCCCAGAACAACACTATTGAGTCCTGGGTGTATGGGATCTGGCTTACAGACCTGTCCTCTGGACCCCTAAGCTCAATCCCTAACCATGCCTGGGAGAAGCATGCTGGTCTTGAATTGCCAACGGAATCCTCAAGCAGGATTAATATCCCTCTGCTTCCAGGTGTTCCCTGCTCTGTTAAAGCAGCCAGATGAGAAGCACTGGGGAGGGCCAGCAGGCAGGGAGCTCATAGTCTGGTCACCCTGTCTTGTGATGGGCATGGATGTAGTTGACATGAGGGGAAGCAGTTGCCCCTGAGAGCCCCAGCTTAGTCACCCCTTGGGTACCCATGCACCTGACAGCAGTGGGTGGAGGAGGGGAGAGGGAAGAAAATGATCTGAATGTAGGAGAGCTGGGACTCTGTTTCCCTTTGACTCTCTCCCCATATGGCAGTGCACTTGGAATGTCCAGGCTCTGGGAGTCATACAGATTCCCCTCTGGACCCACTGGCCCCCTGTGGCCACTGAGGTCTGGGCAGGAGTTGGGAAATGTTTGTGTGAGAACCAGTGACACAAAAACTGAAGCTCCCTTGGGAAGACATTGGCACAAAATGAGTGGAGAAGTGATATGGTGGCCACTGCCTTTGTTTGGGTCTGTGGTGATGGGGAGCAACCCTGAGGGGGTTCAACAGCCTGATGCTTTGTTTTCAAGAAGCTCACAGTTAATTGGCAGCAACAGCTTTGGGGCTCACAAAAGTAGAGAAGCTCCCCAGCAGCTTAGGAGCCTGCTGACTACCAGAGGAGTGAGGGAAGGAGAAACCAATCCCCTACCTCCTATTTCCACTGGGCTCCAGGTTTCTTGGGGGTCCATCTGTACTAAAATTTTGCTGCTTCTTCTGCTATGCAACTTCTTCCTATGAAATGTCTGGTAGCTTCCGGCACTTTTCCTTCAGAATTGCACATGAGCTCTGTTTTCTGTTTTTTTCCATGTAAAAGTTTCCCTTCCTTCTGAGATAATCAAGTGACTGATGTCTCTAGGCAGCCATCTTGCTCCACCCCTTCTAGTGCTTTTATCTTCCTGGAAATTGTTATCTTTCTTGGCTGTGGAAATTTTAGGTGTCTCAATAAAAAGGCCTGAAGAAATAGATTAGGTGACTGTTGAGTCTACTCATACAAAATTTAAGAAGTTCCTCTGGAGATCAAACATCCTTTCCAAAGAGAGGCTCCTTGGAGATAGCAATATAAATCAGGGATTCCCAATCTTTATAAAACTGTTTGGCCTCTTGACAGTCCCCACTGTCTGCATAAAATGTTTTGCAGCATGCATTTATCTCTAAGTGAAAATACCAAGAATTTTATTTTGAGGGTTTTTGTTTTGAGAATTCTTAGACCCACTCTTGAAAATTTTTAATCATCAAAACATACTGAGGATCATTTGTTCGTGTCATCCCTAGTATCACCATACAGCCCAAGATGTCACCCTTTAAAGGCAAACTTTTGAGGGTTGGTATGTAGCGGTGTATGATGGAGGTTGATTTTATTAGTCAACTTGTTTGTGAGACATAGAAATATGTTTTTGCCCCTCATGGCATAGAGTTTCTTTTATATCAGAGGCCAGTGGCACAGCCTCGTGGTTTAGCGCACCATATGAACCCTTATAGGAACTGCATGAACATATATTTTTATGACTGAGTCTATTTGCCACTAGATGGCTCTATTGTATCATCAAGAAATGCACACGTGTTGAATCCATGGTCTCATAAACGACTGGAGAAAAACAAAGCCGCAGTTAGACTTTTAAAATACATAGGAACACAGTTCATTTTTTATGGGGTTAATTAGAAGCAGCTGCTGCAGCAGGAGTATTCACAAGAAAACAGGGCACACCCAGGGCAGCTATAGGAAGCTCATAATCCTAGCACATACAACGTTCTCCTTTTTCAGTTTTCATATTGCTTGGTAATTAGTAATTATCACAATAGCCAAAGAGTAGTTAGAAAACATTCTGTCTCAGCAAGGCCTGTAACGGATATTTCTATACCAATTTTGTATGCTCTTCAGCTTGCAACTGAGAAAAAATAACTTTAGAAAAATTTTGAGAGGTGAAGTCTACACGACTGCTGATTTGACTCGTATTAGCCAGGCCCTGAGGAAGAACAATCTGACTCAAAATTGTCTTTGCTTCAATGATACTTGTGATAAGAACAAGATGGGGAAGATCAGAGCATGCAGTGCTTCTCTGAGTTTCCATGGCTGTACCTCCTAGATGGTGATGTTACAAACACAGGCGTTCTAGGTAACATCTCCCATGTGGGATGTAAAATTTTGATCCTAACATCTTGAAATAGAGGAAAAGTTACAGAGTAACTCAGTTCCAATGTGAGTAATTTTACCTTAATTTTCCAAAACTGCTCATTATCATCACTTAATTTTTGCTCTGTCTTTAGGCTTTCAATTGTTAAATAAGACCAGTATTATAGCATTTTGTTGTTTTAGTACTGTGGTAGGAAAAGAGGAGAACTTGTGGTGAGTTTATCAAGCTTATCCTTAGTCTGCGAAAATTGTTGGAGATGCACTCAGGGAACTATGTCCAAAAGTAATTCTTCATTCTTGTTTTAAAGAGAGAGCCCCTGAAACCTGGATGGAAGCCGTTTACCTTGATCCAGCTTGAGTCCTTGGAGAGTTGCCTGCAGGAAGCAGAAGAGAGGGCTAAAGCTTTATCCGAACAGGTAATACCTGTCATGGGAACTGGAAACAAATGTTCCTCAGTGTGCAGGATGGCAGGTGTAAATCTAAACACACTTTCCAGCCTCTGCCCCATTGACACCCATGCATGCCGTGACTACGCATGACGCACACACACCGGCAGAGCAGCTCAACATTTTAGACATAACAATGCGTATTTTCACCTGCATGGACCTTTTCAACCTTTACATTTTTTTCACGTTTGTATTTTACTTGATTTTCATACACTACAGGTCATGAGGTAGGTCTTTTAAGCAAGGGGTTTCCTGAATAAGCAAAGCCTATTTGCATTATAAACAAACAAGCCCCAAGATGAAATAAAACCAGTGGGAATCATATTAGATTTACTTTCTTGAATTATTTGAGAAAAAACTTACTTGGAAGAGAATTTTTTCAATATTGACTTTGCTCTTGGGTTTTTGAAACTCAACAGAAGCAAAGCAGGAGCAGGTCAGAGGTGGAGCTGGGTGTGCGCTGGGGATACAGGTACTTCTTGCATGCTCTGCACAGGCAGTGGGTTCCTGGTTTTGGAGGCAGTGGCTAGGGTATCAGAAGAGCTCAGACCAGGGGCTGGACCATTTCCCAATAAGATTATACTTTGCAAACACTATGAGGCATAGTACAACTATTTGTTAGTATTGCTTTTTCCTCCTGGGCAGAGGGCTTGGCCCCAGAAAGCCAAGCTGCCTGAGCTATCTGGAGTCTGGGTCCCCCCTCTTGCACATGGGTACCAGTACTCACTCTTGGTGACAATCAATGGAGGGAAAGGACTGAGAAGGCCCTAAAATGTTATAAAATCTCATTAATTTCTCATGGATTGATACATTTGGATGAGAATATATAATATTCTAGAAACTTTCAACTTTCTTTTTGTTTTGTTTTTGAGACAGTTTCACTCTGTCACCCTGGGTTAAGTGCCATGGTGTCATCGTAGCTCACAGCAACCTCAAACTCTTGGGCTCAAGAGATCCTCTCGCCTCAGGCTCCTGTAGCTGGGCCTACGGGCACCTGCCACACACCAGGTTTGTTTTTTTTATTTTTAGTACAGACAGCATCAGGCTCTTGCTGAGGCTAGTATCAAACTTCTGAGCTCAGGTGATCCACCTACCTGGGCTTCCCAGAGTGGTAGGATTACAGATGTGAGCCACTGTGCTGGATCAGAAACTTAAAAATAATAATTTTAAGATTTAAAATAAGAATAAAGGTAGTATTTTTGTACAGAAAAGTCTAATTGCATCAGAATTTTATAAGAATTTTTATAGAAACTAAGGAGTTGCTGGTACTACCAAAAAAAAAAAAGGATGGTTAACTTGTAATGTAATGAATTGGTACACATACAAATGGCCCTCATTGCTTTTTTCAGCTTACTAAAAAATTGCATTCCGTTGGCATGATTATTGTTTATTAACTAAATGTGACTGACACAAAGAGTCAGCAGGGGACATATGTCAGTTAAGGAAAGAGTGTTGCCCTTTTGGGAAAGTTTCTGTCTCAGCCTCAAGCCATAGCACTAAGCTGTAAACTGCCTTTTTTCTCTAAAACAAGCCTCCTGCCAGGGTGGCAAAATTATAAATTATAAAAAACATAATGATGATTATGAGGTACTATGTCCAAGAAAAAAGGAAAAGACTAAGAATTTCAGAGCCTCCCAAGTGGGAAGGATTTTTGAACTAGCTAAAAGGAGGCACCTCTGCTTACTTAGCATTAGGTCCCACTAAGATATATGTTTATTTTGTCATTGAATGGCTTGAATGATTTCTCATTTGACTCAGCAAGACTCAGTTCGCTCATGGAAATACCCATTCCTATGGTTCTTTATAAAATATTTTTATCCAAAACAAATACCCCTAATATCTAAGATTCTTCACCGGATGATCCCTTTATGTAACACAAAACATTCAGATGTATTTATTTTTCTCCTGGTCAGCACGTGAATATGTACAATGGAAACGGGATTTCCCTCAGCTTCTTTGTACCTCCCATCAGTCAGATGCTGGTTAGATGTTTGGGGGACAAAGACATCTAAGCCAGGGCTTCCCTACTCATGTAGATCCCAGGCAATAGAATCACTGGGAAAAATGGGGGAAAAAATAGATGTGTTTTATGACTCCAAGATAAACTTTACTATAGTCCTCAGTTGCAGGGTCTGTGTGGGCTATTGGCCTGTAGTATATAGTTCTGGAAGTTGCCAAATTTACATAACCAAGTAAATTTAATTGGAAGTTGGCCATGGTTTGAAGAAAAGGTGAGTGTAATGTACAAAAGCGCATCGCAGGCGTTTTCAGTCTTTGATTCTTAAGTTAAGTTGAGCACTTTATTAAATGTGGCTGTCTCCTCTGTAACCGTGGACACCTATCAGCCCAACGTAGACACTGTTCTCGAAGGATTTAATCTTGAAGTTTTGCTTTGCCCAAGTGTTTGAGTCTAGTCTTATCCTTGAAAAAGTTCTTACTGTGAGAATAGTGCCTTTCCCTCTCTTTTAAAATTTAAATTGACATCTGGCATCTTGAAAAGTGAGATGAGCGGATAGGGAAAGGAGGGCAACTGATATTTCTTAAGAATATTCTTAATTTCATCCTGGAACACCTGTCTCAAACAATCAAACGTTTGTCCACTGGGGGCCACTGTCTTCCTTAGCAGGCTGTGCCACTAAGGAACTGCGGAAAGATTGTCTTCAGTATTAAAGACAACGAATACACTCTGTGTGTGTGTTCACTATTATTATTATTATTATTGACAGAATCTCACTCTGTCGCCTTTGGTAAAGTGCTGTGGCATCGTAGCTCACAGCAACTTCCAGTTCTTGGGCTTAGGTGATTCTCTTGCCTCAGCCTCACGAGTAGCTGGGACTACAGGCACCTGCCACAATGCCCGGCTATTTTTTTGTTGCAGTTTGGCCGGGGCTGGGTTTGAGCCCACCACCCTTGGTATATGGGGTCGGTACCCTACTCACTGAACCACAGGCGCTGCCTGTGTGTGTGTGTGTGTGTGTAAAGGAATATTTTTGCTTGCTACACACATTGAGACTTCTTTTAAATGTCATTAATTTAAGATTTGTCACAAGGATGTTGGAAATAATTGCAGGCCTTCACTGGTAACCCAAACTGTCATACAGCTGAGCACTGGCCAGACGGGCTGGCCTGGTGGGGTAGGATGAAGTGGACAGAGCAGACACAATGACAACAACCAAGATCTGTGCTGGGACAAAGGAGTTTCCACACACGGCATTGTCAGTCAGTGGATCCCGTCACTGTTAGCCAAAGCTCTACCTCCTGACTTTGCCTCTTACATGAGAATGTGGATTTAACTCTGAATGGCAAGTACAGATGCCTGGGGTTGTCACCTACACTGAACATCTGTTAGTCCTGGGCCCTAGGACTCACAGTGGACATTTCTAAGGTCCCTTTCAGCAAGGTCTCCCTTGGTCCACTATGAAAAAAAAATTAGAAATAGCGAAGAGATAAGGAGATTGTGGTCACTTCCTCTGGCAAGGTCGCAGAGTAAACAGAATTATTTCTGGGGCTTCAGTCTCGCCAACAATTTTTCCATCCTTCTCTGCAGTCATGTCACGATTGTTAAAATAAATACCTTGTCTATGTCTATGTCTAAGTGTATGCATATATATTACATATATGTAAAAGGTCCAGATAATTTATAATTAACGTTCATCCTGAGTGATAAGGATAAATAACTCAAAACATTACCAAGTTTTCCTTAAGAAAATCCTTGATTGTATTTCCTGGAGGTTACGATGAGTGGAAGGAAAGCCAAACTGGGTAGTAAGTGGAAACTGGGTAGTAAGTAAAGAAGAAAAATACACAGGAAAAAGAGAAAAAGTTCTTAGACTGTGAGAGAAAGAGAAAAGATTTCTGGATATGCCCATAAAAAGCAGTTTATTTTTCCAGTGTGTATGAGAGGACAAATACGGGGCTCTGGTTGACGCCGTTTGTGACATATAAGCTTTTGTGCTGACACAGTTTCTAAGAAAGTGTCAGGAAAACTCCGCCCACAGTTTTACCCTGGAGCACCAGCCAGATGCTCCCACAGGCAGAGGGCCCAGGCAGAGCCCCTTCTGGCAGCAGCTTTGGCCTAGAGCGCCTCCCCTTCCTCAAGGGTCTGGTTCCCAGCGCCAGCCTGCTCCACTGACTGCTTGCTTTATGACCATGGGCAATTCACTCCATCTCCTTGTCATGGTTGTCTTATCTAGGAGTGGGTAAACATGCTAGCTTCAGAGGGCTGCTGAGAAGATTAAATCAGATGGGTGTCTGCCTCTTAATAAGTGCATGGTCTAAATGTTTGTGCTGCCCTCCAATGCATATGTTGAAACCTAATCCCCAGTTGATGGCATTTGTAGGTGGGATCCTTAGTGATGGGTGAACGGGATCAGTGCCCTTGTACAAGACGTGCAGTGGGGTTCCCCCGCCCCTTCTATTACGGGAGGACAGAGCAGGAAGGTGTGTCTGTGAACCAGGAAGTGGGCCCTCACCCTTGCTTTGATCTTTTCAGTCTCTGGAACTATGAGAAATCTGTATTGCTCAGAAGTTACCAAGTTCATGGTACTTTGTTCTAGCAACCCAAGTAGACTGGGACGGTAGGTTGTTAATATATATCAGTTTATCTCAACTCCTACCAGTGATCATAACGGATCACTGTGTGATTCTCTTCATGCCTGGAGCCACATCAATTAATCACAGTCCCGAAGGATCCCGAAAGTCTCACACACACGCACACACTTAGACACATATGTGTGTGTGTGTATGTTTGTATAGTTTTTCTTTTCTGGCGTCTTTCAATGCTTGAAAGATGGCCCAAATCATAACAAGGCTGTCCTTCTCCAAGAAGAGCTCTTACAGTCTCTTGACCCAGAAAAGCACCCCTCCCTGC